CATCATTTCTAGCAGCAATAACTTTTGTGGGAAGGAATGAAGTAACAGAAGCATTTTCTTTCTTTTTTTTTCCTCTACCCCTACCACAATTTTCTGCTTTTTTTAAAATTATTTATTTATTTATATGCTGCCCTTCTCCGGAGACTCAGGGCGGCTTACAGTGCGTTAAGCAATAGCCTTCATACTTTTGTATATTTATACAAAGTCAGCTTATTGCCCCCACAAACTGGGTCCTCAATTTACCTACCTTAGAAAGGATGGAAGGCTGAGTCGACCTTGAGCCTGGTAAGAATTGAACTCGCAGTAATTGCAGGCAGCTGGATGTTAAATGCTGCCTCAGTAGGAGGCATTAGCCTCCTACGCCACTCAGGCTCAGATCTCTTTTTTGAGATCCCTGATGTGGTTGGGGCTATCCAAAGCACAGATGTTGGTTTTTAAAATGCCCAAGTGTATGGGAGCGCTATTGACAGCCAGACTATACTGTAATATTTATAGCATCTATAACGTTTTGCATCGTTCTGGCTTTTATTCATGTAAGATTTATACAATTTCCATCTGCTGAAATCTGTGACAGCTTTACTCCCATGCCCTGAAAAAAAAAAAAAAAAAACCACACTTCTCTTTGTGTTATTTTAACACATCAGCCAACTGTTTTGTGGGTCCCTCCAGCTACACCTGTGGGTGAAGGGAAGACATGAAGTTTTAATGTCTGGGTGGGACTGCGTAACATATGTGATGTATTTGAAAAGAGAGGATGCGTTTTGAAGGATTTCCATCGCGGCTTAGACAATAAAGTTCTCTAAATCCATGAGACAACTCTTAGGGCACTGCAGATATCACACCAATTATTTATTTATTTATTTATTTATTTTTAAATTTGTATATCGCCCTTCTCCCTGAGGACTCAGGGTGGTGAACAGCCAAGTAAAAACATAAACTACAAACATTAAAATACAATTAAAAAGATATATATAAATTTGGCCCCATGATTAAAAACAATAACAGACAATTAAAAACATTTTAAAAAGTGTTAGGCCAGTCCGGCTTGCTGGAAAAAGAAGGTTTTAAGGGCACAGCGGAAGGCACCGAGGTCTTGGATTCTCCTTATCTCTGGGGGCAACTGATTCCAGAGGGTGGGTGCCCCCACAGAGAAGGCCCTCCCCCTGGGGGTCACCAGCCTACATTGTTTGGCTGATGGCACCCCAAGGAGGCCCTCTCTGTGGGAGCGCACAGGTCGATGGGAGGCCGTTGGTAGCAGCAGGTGGTCTCGAAGATATCTAGGTCCTATGCCGTGGAGCGCTTTAAAGGTGATAACCAATACCTTGAAGCGCACCCGGAAGACCACTGGGAGCCAGTGCAGCTCACGCAGGAGAGGTGTTGTATGGGAGCGCCATGCGGCTCCTGTGACTACCCGCGCGTCCACATTCTGGACCAGTTGGAGCTTCCGGGTACTCTTCAAGGGGAGCCCCACGTAGAGAGCGTTGCAGTAGTCCAGAATAACAGAGTTTCAAGGAACCTTGGAAGTCTTCTAGTCCAATTGTTTATGCTCATTGCTGCTATACCATTTCAGACAAACAGTTGCTCAATCTCTTAAAAATTTCCAGCGTCGAAGCACCCACAACTTCTGGAGGCAAGTTGTTCCGCTGATTAATTGTCCTCCTTGCCAGGAAATTTCTCCTTAGTTCTAGGTTGCTAGGTCTCCTTAATTAGTTTCCATCCATTGCTTCTTGCTAACAAACCATCAAGAAGCATTTGCTCTTTAGGGCAGGAGTAGAGATTCTGTTGGGATGGCATTACACCTTCTGGCATCCATGAGTATGACTCATGAATGGTGAGTTGGAATTAGAATCCAACACCGTTGCAATCCTTGAGTGACGTTCATAGAAAATTAGGCAGAATGAATGGAGTGAGTGGCTCATGATATTCCTCTCATTTCCAAGGACTTGGAAAACACAGTGGACGCCTACATGTAATCCTTGACTTATGGCCATTCGCTTAACAACCATTTGTGTTGGGGGAAAAAATGACTTACAACCGACTTATGCAGGGGTGGGCTTCAAAAATTTTAGCAAGGGGTTCTCTGCCTGGTTGCTGGGTGGGTGGGAAGTTGCAAAAGGGGATCATATGACCTCGGGATCAGGGGTGAAATCTTACCGGTTCAGACCGGTTCGGGCGAACCGCTAGGGATTATGGGCATCAGTTTGTCGAACCGGTAGTAATTACCCATCCTTGGCCGCACTCATGCCCGGCTGGACACCGCTCACCTCTTCCGGCCGCTCGATATTCCACAGAATTGAATGTTAAATGCAGCAGAGAGAATGCTAACTTTTCTCCCTCCATTCAGAACGGAGTTGCTGCAGCCTGTCCCTTTAAGATAGGGAGGGAGGGGGGGAGAAGCAGCTGGAATGTTTTTGTGAAAGGCAGGAAAATGGGGAAGGGGATTTTCCTGCCTGCCATCCATTCCTTAATCTCAGCACAGACGGAGGGAAGGATGGTAGGCAGGAATATTCCCCTCCCCATTTTCCTGCCATTCGCAACAAGGAATGGCTGGGAGGGGAGGGGCTAGTGAGGAGCCCCTCGATGTGAGTGATGTCGAGTTGGCGACGCCCACCCAGTCACATGACCTCCCTCCCCCAAACAAGCCATGCCCACAGAACCGGCATTTTGAGAAAACAGGATGGAGTCCATTGCTCTTGAACTGTTAAGTATCCAACCTTGAATCTCTCCCCCCTGCAAATCTGTAAAAATTTGCAAAACTGAACTCAAAATTCCAATGGAGGCATAAGTACATCGTTGACGTTATACTAACCACAGTCCATAGCTGTTGTGAGTTTCTACAGTGGGGGGGGAGGGCTCAACTGTGTTTGACAAGATGCATTTTTTTAAAAAAAATAATAAGTAAATAATAGAAGTGATTAAGAGTGGCGTTCTCCAGGACCTTACTTTTCGAGTGACATCCAGAATCTTTTCTCTTGCAGCCGTTCCGTAGAGTGACGTTTTCAGTTGTGAGTCAGCCTCAAGACCCACATCAAGGGTCTTTGCAGAGTTGCTATGACAGCGGTCTGGAGGAATCTGAAACGCCAAGCAGTAAGAGTTCTTCAGGGCCGAGGCTGGGTGCCCTTCCACTCCCAGAAGACAACTACGAAAGGACAACGCCGGATGGCAGTGTTGGTGAGGCAGAGCATATGGAAAATGGTAGGGGCAAACACAACACTCACAACACTCCAAATTTGCAGTAGGGAGCCCCATGTCCAGTAGACTTGGCAAGAGGTCAGTTGGAAGAAAAGGGGGAAGGACGTTGACCGAGAATTTCAATTGATGTGATGGCTTGCTTCCAAATGGGAGACTTTACTGAGCCCCATTGATGTCTGTATCGGCAGGTATAAGATTTTAAGCCCTTTCCACTCCAGTTTGGACTTACTGGACAGAAAGGTCGAATCTAAATTAAACCATGACCACTGGTACAAATAATAATGTCAGCGATGCATACCTAAACCGTGTTTCCCCGAAAATAAGACCCTGTCTTATATTTTTTTGAACCCTGAAATAAGCTCTTGGCCTTATTGCCATGCACTCAAAAGCCCGATTGGGTTTATTATCAAGGGATGTCTTATTTTGGGGGAAACAGGGTAGCTTTCCCTGAGTTGGGATGTGCTTCGCTTACGACTGCATTAAGCTGATAATATTTTAACTGACAACATCAAGAGAGTGTGTGTGTTTTTTTGGCGGGGAGGGATCAGTTAAAAGAATTAAAACAGCATTGCCACCATAATCTCCTAAAGCTAGAAAAATAAATCAATATATATAACCTGGTTAAAAACCAAACAAAACTGAAGAGAAGATCTATTTCCTTAGAAAATATATTTATTTTGAGATAGCATCGAAGCCTGACATATATATAGTCTCGTACCGGTTTTTTTGCTATTATAATTCTCTTAATCGTCATTACATTAAAGATGTCCAGTGTTAGCTAGAAGAAAATAATTGTCCTTCAAAGATTATTGTCTTTGTAAAGACTGTGTAGGCGCTTCCCCCGACCCACAATATACAGTTATCTACACATACTGAATAAAGTGCGTGTGGTACGGGGTGAACTCAACGGATTCAGGGTTTCTAATGGAATCCAGAATTCCAGAATAAAGCATTAACTGAGACGTACACCTCAGTGATTATGGCCAGAGCATTCATTCCCTTTGTCATAAAACGGTATTAACCGTGCCAGATTCCATGAATGCTGAATTATTTAAAAAGGATGACAAGTTGTCTTTTCTCCTTTTGCAGCTGTTGTAGAAGGGCGAAAAAATAATAATAATCAGAACATCTCATTTCAAACCTGAGATTATCGATCTCAGGAACACAATTGCAATATTTTTTTTTTCCTGTGCTGTATTTATTTATATATATATATTTTCTAGAACAAAAGAAACTTTTGTTGTTGGAATCTTGCATCGTTTGGGGATGGGGGTAGAGAAAGGATCCGGTTCTTAAAATGAAATGCAGCATAACGTAATTTTAAAATTCACCATTTACTTTCTGGTGCATTTTTAACCATTCCCTTCTATACGAGTCGATCCTTGTTTTCTCCCCCTCCCTCCTTTCCCCCCCCCTTGTTTTGATCTGAATTTTCTGAATTAAATTACAATGAATTTTATTTCCATAGTGGCAATAGAAGCTAGTGAAAGACACCGTGTAGGGAAATTATAACAAATGAAACGAGCGTGTAAATGAGAAGATGGTTGGGGCTGCAGAATTAGATAGTTTTGCTTTCCTTTGGAGAAGTTTCTATCAGTAGTTAATGGATTGATTAATTAGAGGCGAAATAGACCCATCAATGAAATCATAACAACATTTGAGAGAGGATAGAAGAGAAACTCTTTAATACGAGGGTGAAAAAAAGCTACTAGCATTACCCTTTCCTCAGTAAACACACAAGAAATGTTGCCTATTTCCATAGGGTTTTATTATATTGCTTATTGGTGAAGAAAATGTTGTTGGAAAAAGAGGGGGGAAAAAAACCTCCTAGTTCAGTTAGTAACGTGGGGTTCGTAGAGAGTTGAAAATCCCACCTTAAATTCAAGATTAAATAAATCTTTTCGGGGAATGCTTTTTAATGCTTCACAGTTACAGTGTTTACAACTTTTATGATCTGTTTATGACTCAGCCATGCTGGCATTTGTATGTACCCTTCCCTTCGCTGTTTCTTAACGTTGGGAGTTATGCTATTGGAATGAAAAGTAGTAAATCGAGAATGTATTAATCTCCCACTTATCTTCCGATCTGGCGTCAATTTACAACACAGGCTGGTGTGGAATGCAGACGGGGTAGAAGTAATGCAATAGCCGAGTAACAAGATAGTATTGGTCAGCTAACTGGGTGGAATTCCCACCGAGGGTGTATATAGGGTCAAACAAACAGGAACCAAGAGGCAGAAACAAGAGACGTGACCATACATAGATTGAGGTCAAGGGCAGATTTGAGACAATCCATTTCATTATTTGATGTGCTGTGATGCCCAGAGTGCTAGTCTGTTTCTTTTCCAGAAAAAGAGAGATTAATTGGCCTCTCCTTTGGCTGAGAGGTCAGCAGATCGTTTTCAGGTTGCTGAAAAGAAGATATCCATACCGGTGATTTATAGCATCAGCCAGACATCAACATGGCAATGCAAAACCTTCTGCATTAGGGATACATCACTGTTTGACTCTTCATATCATCCCAATGTTGTGGTCCACCAGCAGCCCACAGGGCTAACAGCAGAGTCAGACAGTGAGGAGGCTGGGGAGGACCATGGGCCAGTCCTGGAGTCTGGAGAAGGCCCGGACAAGGGCTTTGTGTCAGAGGCAGAGATGGGACCAAGGCCATCTGGGAATGATGTGCGGACTCTGGAGCCTCCAGAGTCGGACAGCAGAGAGGCAGTGGAACAGGAGGAGCCTGTTCCTAGTGCATGCATGCGAAGAGCTGCCAGAAGGCAAGAGCAGCTAAAGCAAAAAGGACGACTCGTGAGTAAGGACAGGAGATGATTGGCCCCTCCCATAAGGCTTAAAAGAGCAGCAAAGGCTCTTGGGCTCTTTGTAGGAAAGCAACGTTGCTAAATCTGTTTTCCAATTGGCGTCTCTTGTTTCTGAACTATGTGGGGCTTTGCCAAGAAAGGCCTTTGGCAGAGTGCCAAAGAAGATAAAGGTTTGTGATAAGGCCTAAGAACTTTTTCTGAAGGACTTGTTTTGCAACTAATTGGAATGAAAGTAATTTTCAGCTGTTACAATAAAATAGGGTTTTTTGGGACTAATTGTGTCCTGTAATGACTAAGTGAGCCTAGGTCATAGCACCCAAGGATGGTTGACAGTAGTCTAGGCCAGGCCTGAGATGTAGAAGATCTTCTCACTTTATCCAAACCAGACAGGTTAGATGGTTGCAGAATCCAGAGTGTTGAAAGAAGGAGGCCGTGATCTGATCCCTTTTCTCATTTCTTCCTCCAATGCTCGTTTACATGAACGAGTGACTTATATCAGTGCATATCTAATTGCCACCTACGGTGGTTTGCAATCCATTTTGTGCATAAGTGAGCTACCCACAGAACCATATGACCCTAATTGATAATCACCTCTGGCCTCTCCAAGTGTTGCGACTGGCGGGCCCAATTTAATTCAGATTTTCAACTAAGCAACATTGACTTAGAATCCAATTAAGTGGGAGGATAAATACTGCAGAACGGATTTTCAGATGTCTCAACAAGGGCCAAGGTCTCCAGGTAAATAAGACAGGTGGCACCGTTGATAATTCACACCATAGCTCTCTGCATTTTAAGAAGGAGCACGGAAATAAACTGACATGGATTGCTGCAATTTTTGTTTCCCTATATATAGATGTAGTAGTATATTTTCCTGTGGGATGGATGGATGGATGGATGGATGGATGGATGGATGGATGGATAGATTGAGAGAGAGAGAGAGAGAGAGAGAGAGAGAGAGAGAGAGAGAGAGAGAGAGAGAAAAGATAGATACAGTAGATAGATAAGTAGATAGATACGATAGATAGATAGATAGATAGATAGATAGATAGATAGATAGATAGATCGATCATTGGCATCCTTCAGTCTCAAGAAACTATGGTATTGTGCTCTGGAAAGAGGTCCTAAAATAGAATCTAGTGTGACCAAAAGGCCAATCTCTCAATAGATAGATAGATAGATGATAGATAGATAGATAGATAGATAGATAGATAGATAGATAGATAGATAGATAGATAGATAGATAGATAGATCAGACAGGCAGGCAGGCAGGCAGACAGGCAGGCAGGCAGGCAGGCAGACAGTCAGTCAGACAGACAGACAGACAGACAGACAGACAGACAGACAGACAGACAGACAGACAGACAGACAGACAGACAGACAGACATAGGAAATAGCAGGCTGAGCCAGAGGGAGGGGTCAAATGTATCATAAGTCAAGAGTCCCTGCAATGCCTGCAGGAAGATCTAAGTCCAGCCCATCTTGAATGCCTTCCTTATCCCCCGCTCTTTTCCCTTGACTGTTAGTTGATCAGATTCTTGCAGAAAGCTGAAGCTTGCAATAAATCTTTATACTCATTTGACCTGCCTGAATCTCCTGATTTTCCTGGCCCCTGACAGACACAAGTATATATTGTAGCAGGCTTGCAAATATTGTTGACATTACGGTGACAAGGAACAGCAAGAAGACATAATCTTTTTGAAGGGTTAAACCAATCACTGATAAAGACATGCAGATGATGAGCATAGCCTTAAGTCTATTACTATTATTATTATTATTATTATTATTATTATTATTATTATTATTATTATTCAAGATATTAAGAACATGATTTAATTAATTATAGTTAATTTAATGTCTGATGGGGAAAATGGAGATGCCCCAACATTTGGCCAGTGTTTATCGAAATGTCTCAAGGGGCACTGAATTAATACATTGACCCAGCCAACAGCTCACCAACTGGAGTTTCTCCTTAGAAAATCGAGATCTTTTTGTAACCTTCTGAATCATGCAATTAAATAAAAAAGAAAGAAAAAAAAAGAAATGACAATTTTCATTGAATTTTCATGCCTATGACAAATTGAGTGATTTTGCTCAAGCTGCAAGTCTAATTTACTGTTCCCTTTTCAACAGCTTCTGATATCCATCCGTCTCCAAAACCTCATTATTGTATACTTAAAGTAGCATAATT